GCCACTGCTGAAACTTGGGCATCCAGGCTCAGAGTTGAGTCCAGGAGCTTCGGATTTCAGGGGGAGTGTAACCCCATCCATCTCAGGCACAGCCCCAATTCTCTGATCTGCCTTACGACTGAACAGGAGCACCTCTGTCTTGTCTGGATTAAGCTTCAGTTTGTTTGCCCTCATCCAGTCCATTAATGACAGCAGACCCTGGTTCAGCACAGAGACAGCTTCCTTGGAGTTAGATGGAAAGGAGAGATACAGTTGGGTGTCATCTGCATACTGATGACACTGCACCCCAAAACTCCAGATGACCACTCCCAGTGATTTCATGTAGATGTTAAACAACATGGGGGACGAAACAGAACCCTGTGGGACCCCACAGACTAGCAGCCAAGGAATTGAACAGGAGTCTCCCAACACCACCTTCTGGGTCCGCCCCTCCAAGAAAGACTGGAACCACTGCATAGCAGTGCCCCCAAGTCACACACACTCAGCCACAGGAGAATGCAATGGCAAACCTCCTTTGAACAAATCATGCCAAGAAAGCCCCATGATAGTTTCGCCCTAGGGTTGATATAAGTTGGAAATTACTTGAAGGCTTGCAACAACAAACATAATAGGAGCCAAGGTGATATAGTGGTTTGAGCATTGGACTACAACTCTGGAGACCAGGGTTCAAATCCCTGCTTAACCATTGGTGACCTTAGCCAGTCACAATCTCTCAGCCAGAGAAGGAGATAAAAGCCAACCTCTCAACAAATTTTGCCAAGAAAACCCCATGAGAAGTTCACCTTAGGGCCACGGTTAGTCAGAAATGACTTGAAGGCACACCACCACAACAACAAACATATTGTTCAGTAAGACTTAACAATATAGTAAGTGGGCTAAGGACTGCAGTCTTGTAAGTTTTTTTAAAATCTGTTTTTTTAAAATCTCAAAATCCTGAGAAACATACTGTTGGTTTTGCTTGCCCCAAGAGGTTTGTGCTTGGTTTTTTTAAAAAAACTGTCAATCTATCTCACATGCAAAACTACTTTTGAAGCCATGGGGAAATTCAGATGCAATTTCTGAAGAAGTATATCGGACATTGTCAAAATGCAATTTTTTTTTAAAAAAAAAAAATAGTGCTGTATATGCTCAAGCCCTTGGGCATGCCTCCTGAAGCAGTTCTTGGACCCTGGCCATTATAACCAATTTCAAAAAGGGGAGATAACAAGTATCTAAAGCTCACTTAGCACATTGCAGAGGTGCTACATAGTCGATGTAATGGTGAATGCAAAATGTGTGTGCATGTTTACTTGCTTGAATTTTGTTTTGAAATTTATTTTAGTTGAGTCCAAAATCATAAACAGCTACAGACACAAGCCTTGAAGTTTCTTAAGTAAAAGATGGGCTTCCTCCTCTAAGAAATCCATGTGTTTCAAATGCAATATATTGGTCCAAGAATAGGTTCCGATTTGGAAGGGGCAGCAGTAGTTTCCCATTTTGCAAGTATTTACACAGGGAAAATTCTTGAATAGCTTAGTGGTTGACGTTAAGAATCCTTGCACTGCAAAAATAGACTGTTAAATATAAACCCTGTGTACTGTCATTTAAATGGTGTATGTGCTTTGGAATTTCACTGATAGAATAATGCTGATTTAATAATTTTAAATAGTTTTTTTATTTATTTGCAGTGCGATGCAATTAGTTTGCTGGAAAAAGAGCACGATTACAGAGATGAGCACTTTGACTTCATTCAGTCACACATCCGAAGGTTTTGTTTACAATGTATCCTTTATTAGTAAAATTTATCCTAGATGTTTGGGTAGCTGTTATCCAAAGTGATCTTTTTTTTTAATGTTTAATGTTAGTTTTTAATGTTAATGTTAATGTTTTTTTAATGTTTAATGTTAGTGGAGTCTCCTTCCTTGGAGGTCTTTAAGCAGAGGCTGGATGGCCATCTGTCAGGGATGCTTTGATTGGGAATTCCTGCATGGCAGGGGGTTGGACTGGATGGCCCTTGTGGTCTCTTCCAACTCTATGATTCTATGATTCTATGATACAAAACATACCAAAAAAAGCATACATTAAAAACATACTACATAGTATAATGTACACCATACAGCCTTTGAAAACATCTTACATTCATTTCCAAAGTCGTACTCTAACATAAATTTATCAACATAATTTTTTTTGCTTTTACTTTTTACTATATCCTTTGCGACATGTTAATTTGACTTCCTTGATCTTACCCATTTATCTTAAGATTTTTGAAACCTTTATATGACGACTTTATTCTTTCTGTTTTCTTATGCTTTGATTTTCAATTTCATGCCCTGTGCTTTCTGTCAGATTTATTTCTTGTTACACTTGTAATTATTAAATTATATTAATTTTTGAAGTCTACCATTATGGTAAAAATCTTTCCATTTTCCAATATTCTCTAAATGGTTGCCATTCTTTTGATTCGTTTTTCATTAATACAGTTAATGTATCTAGTTCTATAGCTTCTCTCATTTTATCCTCCCATTCTTTTTCTGATAGACTATTTTCTTTTTTCAAATATTTTGCATAGATAATTCTTGCAGTTGTTATCATGTATAATATTTGTCTTCTATATCTTTTTTCTGCATTAGTTTCAATCGAATTTGTTATATTCAAAAGGAAAAGTGTTGGTTCTAATGGTATTTGTGTATTTAATACTTCAGAACTTTTCTTTTGTATTATCCTCCTGAATTTCTTTGCTTCTTTGCAATCCCACCAAAGATGATAAAGTGTTCCTATTGCCTTTTTACATTTCCAACACATCTCATTTCCGGATTTGTAAATTCTGTTAATTTTTACTGATGTCAAATACCAACGGTAAAGCATTTTTATGTGGTTTTCTTTGTAATCTTGACACATTGTGAATTTATTGGTGTCTAGCCAGGATTTTCCCCATTCTTCTAATTCTATAGTTTTCCCCACATCTGATCTATATGCCTATCTGATCATTACATGCTTTACTCTTTACTTGTTCTTTTTCCAGTCCCCTTTCTTTCAGTAATTTATAATATTTTGAAATTTGTTTCTCTTCTTTGTCAAAAATTATCTTATCGCTGTTTTCTCATTTGTCACATCTCTTGTCTCTCTTAACTATTTTGAATTGTTCTTTTAATTGTCTATTTAGAAACCCATTTTTTTTCCGTTAAGCTATTTAACTTTTCCTCTGATTTTATTTCTTTCTCTATTCCATTCTGTATAAGTAAACCATGATTTCCCCTTTATTTTTGATATTTCAAAAAATGCCTCTTGGGTTGAGACCCAACTTGGAATTTGGTTGTAAAAGCAATTTCTGATTTTGGTCCATACTTTCAATAAGGCATTTCTTATTTGGTGTGAAAAATCCTTATTATCCTTTAATTTTGCATACCATAAAAAGGCATGAAAACCATATCTTAATTTAGTTCTCTCAAGATCTAACATTCTTTCTTTGTTTAGTTTTACCCATTCTTCCACCCATGTTAAGCACGCCACATAGTAGTATAGTTTTAGATCTGGTAGTCCGCAACCACCTTTTATTTTATCTTCCGTAAGTTATTTCCATTTTATTCTGGACTTTTCCCCAGACTATATACATTTTAATAATTCATTTTGCCATTCACCTAGGTACTTTTCTTTCATGATTATTGGGAGATTTTGAAATAGATATATAAATTTTGGCAGTATATTCATTTTGAAAACTATTTTTCCCAAAAAAGATAGTTGTAATTTTTTCCATTTTTCTAGGTTTGCTTTTACATTATCCTATTTTTTTTGTAATTATTCTTGAATAAGTCCATATTTCTTCTCATCAAATATATTCCCAAATATTTGACTTTTTTCTCTAATTTAAATCCAGTCATTTCTTTTAGTTCCTCGTCTTCTTTCTTTTTCAAATTCATTGTCAATATTGATGTTTTTTCTCTATTTAATTTGAATCCAGCTACTTTCCCATAATCTTGTATGACATCTAAAAGTCTAGCTATACTTTCTTTTGGGTCTTCTAAAAATCGTATAATATCCGTAAAAGCTTGTAATTTAAAAGTATGTCCTCTCACCTTGACTCCTTTGATCATCTTATCTTCTCTAATTCCATTATTTAGGACATCCAACATGATGATAAACAACAATGGGGACAGCGGACAACCTTGTCTTGTTCCTCTCTCTATTTGAATATTACCTGTTCTCTCATTATTTATGATGATTGGAGCTCTTTGGTCTTTCTAAATCACTTTGGTCCATTCAAAAAATTTGAATCCCATTTTCATTCAGCTAATTAGTTTGACCCTATCAAATGCTTTTTCAGCGTCTATCAATATTATTGCAAGTTTCTGTTTGTTATGTGTTTCAAAGTGTTCAATGATGTTTAAAACTGTTCTTAAGTTATTTTTAGCTTGTCTTCCTGGTAGGAACCCATTTTGGTCTTTGTGAATTGTTGTCTTAAGTATGTTTTTTAATCTTGTGGCAATGATAGCTGTGAACATTTTATAATCTATGTTAAGCAGCGAGATTGGCATATAGTTTCTTATATCTGTTTTATCTTTATTTTCTTTTGGAATTACGCAAATATATGCATCTTTCCAAGAGTCGGGTATACCTTGCTCATGTATATTGTTCATCATTTCTTTTAAAGGTTCTATTATTTCTTCCATCAGTTTTTTATAATATATTGAAGTTAGTCCATCTGAACCTGGTGTTTTTTCCTAATTTTAATTTTCTTATCTCATCGGAGATTTCCTTGCTAGTTATTACCGGTAGTTTATTTAAGTTTTTCACCTGGTCTTTATTTAGAGTGTTTATCTTTTGTTTATCCAAGTATCTTTTTATTGCATTTTTGTTGTTACTCACTTCTGTTTCTTCGCTATATAATTTTCCATAGTATTCTTTAAATATTTTCATAATGTTTTTCTCATTTGTATATGACTCTCCCTTATGATTTACTTCCATAATAATCTTTTTTTCTTTCTTCTTTCTCAATCTGTTAGCTAATAGTCTACCTTCTTTATTTCCCACCTCAAAATGTAGTTGTTTTACTGCTTTTACTTTTTTCCAATCTTTAATTGCTGTCAGTTTTAATTGTTGTTGCAAATTATCGATATCACACTTAACTTTTTGTCCCCACTATTTTTCCATTTTTCTTCTTTCTTTTTTAGTTCTTTCCTTATTTTCTCTTCTTTCTATCTTTTTTCTTTGTTCGTATTGTAATTTTATAATAAGACCTCTAATTACTGCCTTGCTTGCATCCCATATTGTTTTTGATAATATTCCTTCTGTTTTGTTTTCTTTAAAGTAGTGTTTCAGTGTTTCTTTTAATTTATTTAAATTGTTTTTCTTTCTAAATGTTTCTTCCTGTAGTCTCCATATATATATTTTCTTTTTTTCCAATATCTCCATCATAATTGGATTGTGGTCTGAAACACACTTTGTTAATATTTCCATTTATTGAATTTTTAAAGCTAATGCTTTTGTGGCTAAGAAAAGGTCTGTTCTCGATAGGGAGTTATGGACCTGTGAGTAAAAGGTATATCCTCATGCTTCTTTATATTTATTTCTCCGTGTGTCTTGCATTCTGAAATCCTCAATGAGCTTAAAGAAAGATTTAGGCTGTTTCCCTTGGTTTTGTTTTATTTTCTTTCTTTCAAGAGATATTCTATCTGTTTTTGGTTCTATTACTGCAAAGTAATCTTATAA